CCCAATCAAGGCAAATGCCACAGTGATGTGAGTCCCCCCCACCCATTAGCCATTTCATTTATATGAGCAAAGGCTGTCCTAACTACAGGCTCGAACCTCATTTCCGCTCCCACAGACACCAAGGCTGATGCAGCTTTGCTGGAAGCCTCCTCTGAAGCCCAGCCATGGTCAAGTAGGGACCAGGTGCCTTGCTCCTGCCCTTGCTTTTGACCTGAGCTCTCTGAGATTAATTAGATCAGATTTAATAATGAATTTGCCTTACTGGTGTGTACAACACACAGATACATGGGTTGGCTTTGTCCTGAGTGTGTCACAAATTTAATGGGGCCACACGAAGGTGAGCCAATGTGAGGATGACTTGAACAGGCCCTGTGAGGGATGAAGAACTGCACTCAGAGGACACACTGGTCTTCAGATGACCAAGCAGCAAGTTATATTGATAAACGTGATAGCCACGCACAATGGCACATGCCTGTAATCCTAGCATTTAGGGAGGGTAAGGTAGGAGGATTGCAAGTTTGAGTCAAGCTTGGGCAACTTATTGAGACTGTTTTAAAAAAACCTAAAATGACTAGGCGTGGTGGCACAACAATCTCAGGACTTACTTGAGAAGCCGAGGAAAGAGGAAAACCATGAATTTGAGGCCAGCCCTTGCTACTTAGCGAGCTCAAGGCCAGACTGCGCTACAAAGTGAGACCCTGTCTTACCAAAGCAAACCCAACCCTGCCCAGTGGCGTAGAGTAGGAGGTCTTTCCTTCTCAGTCCACCCCTAGAGGTACCATGGCTAACAGTTTTTGACTTTCACATCTCTATCTACTTTAGCTGGTGTTTGCCATCAAAAACGAGGATTGTAGGGGCTTGGGTATAGTTTAGTGGTAGATGGTAGAGCCCTTATCTAGCATGTGCCAGGACTTGAGAGTTAATCCCCAAAACTGCAAAAAAAAAAAAAAAGAAAAGATTGTAGCATGTGCTGGTTGTTTTCCTCTGCCTCCCATTTTTATTAGTTATGTTGTTTAGAACACGAATGTTGGGGTAGGGCTGAGGATTTAGCTCAGCAGTTCCGTGGCCTGCCTTGCAAGCACAAGGACCTGAGTTCAATCCCGGTACCAAAACAAACAAACAAACAAACAAACACGAATGTTTTTCTGTGAAGCTATAGGAAATCTTCCATACCTTGCTGTTGGTTGATGCTAACATAATGGCATAAGTAACTTATGGTGTAAGTGCCGCTGCGAGGTTCCTCTCAAGTCTGTGAGTGGGTCCAAATTGTAGATGAAAGGTTATTGCCCTGAAAGTTGGCCCAACCCCCCAAGGGCCCATGTCTTTCCCAGCTGCCTTCATCCCTGTGACTCGAGTCAGCTTGGCCACATCCCTTTCTGTGTCATTGTGTTGTGTCTTGTGGTAAAACTTCTCCCAGGAGCTTGGTTTACCTAGTGTATGTGGGAATTAAACTCCAAGTTCTTGCATGTCAGAAAATGGGTCTGGGTGGCCTGGCAGGGTGTATGTTTGGCTGCGTATAGAATTCCATGTAGGCCCCTTGAGGATGCCGCTCCTGCCACCTGTACCATAGGACTTGCTCTCATGCCTCAGGAGTCTGAAATTTCACTGGAACAGATCTGGAGGTGGGTCATTTTTCATTTACCCTGACCTAGCCCTTTTATCCTAAATTGTTCTCCTTTCAGTGCAGGAAAAAAGCTATTTCACTATTTATCCTTCATGATGTCCGGTGTTAGGATTCTTGTTACATAGCTCTTCAGCTTCCAGTTGGTTCTTTCATGTCGCTTGATGTCTCTCTCTCATTTTTCTTCTGCTTCTCCTTCTCATTTGGTCTTTGTATTTTTTTTCTTTTGCAAAACTGAAGTGTAATTTAAGCACAGTGAAACACACCTGAATATACTGATTGATGGGTTTTGACAAATGCATACACGGGGGCAGTCCGCACATTATGCTAAGATGTAGAATCTTCCTTTGCCCCTCCGCATTCTCTCAGTACCTGCTGATGCCCACCCCAGAGGCTGCCGCTGTTCTAATGGAGACTGCCTGTAGTTCTTTCTTTTCCAGAGTTTCTCATCAAGAGGAGATCGCACCACATGCTCTTGCATCTGGCTTGTTTTGTTCAGCTTGATGTTGTGTGGGATTCACCCATGGCTTTGGGAGAATCAGGAGTTTCCCTCTTGTTGGTGAGCCACATTCCTGTGTGATGGTCTACCACAGCCTGGCTGCATATGTTTTAGTTACTTCTGGACGGGGCTGTGGTGAATAGAGTTGCTACGAACTTCCTCTGTGTGCCTGTCCTTTGTGGGCTCATGTTTCCTTTCACTCGGGAGAATGTGGCGGGGGTGATGGCTGTGACCCTGCCAAAGTTTCTCCCAGCAGCAGTGTGAGGAAAGGAGGAAGGGCCTGTCATTCCCCGTTTCCCAGTTACCTAGTTACCCAGGAGCAACAGTGATCAGTCTTTCAGATTTAAATTCAGCCCGTGTCTGTGTGTGTACGTGTGTGTGTGTGTGTGTGTGTGTGTGTGTGTGTGTGTGTGTGTCTGAGAGAGAGGGAGGGATCACTGTGGTGTGGTCCTAAGCAGCATTTTCCCAGTTCAAGTGCTATTGACCATTCCTTTATGTTTTTGGTACTGGGATCAAACTTAGGACCTTGCATTTGCGAGGCAGGTGGCAGAACCAACTGAGCTAAATCCCTGGCTCTCTTTATCTTTTTGGGTGAAGTATTTCCTGACAATTTTTTGAGTTAGCTCTCTATATTTGGGGTCTGAATCCTTCGTCATATAATATATACATTATGGAGGGAGGGAGAGAGAGAGCAGGAGATGGGGTAGGGTGGAGAGAGGGATCATTTCTGCAGTTTGTAATATGGCTTTTTTTTTGGTACTGGGGATCAAACTCAGAACCTTGTGCTTGTGAGGCAGATGGTGGAACCACTGAGCTAAATTCTCAGCCCTTGTAGCATGGCTTTTACTTTCTTAGATAAATAATCATTTTAATGAGTGGAATATATTTCCATTTTATTATGCAGGTTAAAGATTAATATTTCCTATTTAGGTGTGGTGATGCACGCCTATAACCCCCCCGTACTTGGGAGGCTGAGGCAGAAGGATCACCAGGAGTTCGAGGCCAGCCTGGGCTACAAAGGAGAACCCGCCTCAAAAAAAAAAAAAAAAAAAGATTAACATCCTTGTACTTAACATTTTGTTGGATTAGGGAATATCTTTTTTTGTTTTCAGTACTGGAGCTTGAACTCAGGATCCTTGTACTGACCTACATCCCAAACCCTTTTCTTATTTCTTATTTTTGAGATGGGATCTCTCTTTGTTGATGAGTTTCCTAGGCTGGGGTCCACTGTGTAATTCTCCTGCCTCAGCCTCTCAGACTGCTGGGGTTACAGTTGTGAGTCACCAGGCCAGGCTGGACTATCTTATTTTTGAAACACTGAGCTTTTAGGAAGGCTAGCCCAGCTTTAATTTGCAAGAACTCTTTCTCGATTGTCCCTTTCTGAATGTGTCCACTTCTTGGGTCTTTATGGGACCACTAACTAAAGTGCCTTTGAAGTCTGCCTCGCCCCTGAATTATTTGTCTTTCTGGGTGCAGCCATGCTGGTGGTTTCCCTTGGCTGCCTGGCTCTGTTAGTGATGGCTGCTCTGTCCCACTGATGAAGGACGGTGTCGGAGAGGATTTGGGATGGAGGAAATAGGCTGGCAGGTGAGGGAAGAATGGCCTGGTGGTGCAGCTGCCACCTGGAATATAATTTCTTAGCAAGATGACTCTTGTCTGGACACCACAGCCCACCTTTCCTCTCTGTGTTGGAGCCTGGATTCATCTCTCTGGGGACTTCCAGAAGGGTCCCGGAGATGTTGGCTCACGTTCTCTTTCAGCCGTCATCTCCCACCATCTCTCCACATTCACCTGATTTTGGACTCCTTGGAATTCCCCAGGTTTCTGTGTTGTGCTAGATGTGTTTATGGTTTCCTTTTGAACATGCAATCTCTTCCTCACATTTCCATAGCTTGTGGGGAGGAGGAGGAGGCAGGCCTTGATCTGTGGGCCTCTCATGGCAGGACTGGGTGGTGACTTGGGGCGAGTCCGACACAGTGAGCTCCTGGTCTTGGGAGAGGCCGCAGCTATGCCCATGTCACTGGGACTCATATTGTGGAATGAAGGTGGCTGCGCAGTCCTGAGGCTGGGTGAGCCCTTTGGGTTTATTCTGAGTGCTCTGCAGAGAAGCCACTGGAGGATCTGGGGAAGGGAAGAGAAGGGTCGGGTGAGCTACACTAAGGAATCAGGCAGGGCGCTGGGTGGGGGAGTAGAGGGTGGAAGGGTGGGCACTGGGTCCAGTGGGCAGGAATGGCAGTGGCAGGAGGGGTGGATGTGGTGATTGTGTGACAGTGAGCAGAGCTTTTGGGTGGGGACACCCAGCTCACATGCCTGATAAGGGTCCCCCAGTGTTCATTGGTCCTTTTACATTTAAGGTCATTGGGTTTGTTTTGCTGCTGGGCCGGCACAAAAGCCGGAGGCCAGGGAAGCTGTGTGGTACCCTTCCTCCCGCGAGGCCCGGGATGTTTTTCCTTCCTCACAGTCTCTGGCACTCGTCAGGGTCTCAGGTCTAGTCTCTGACCTGAGTACTTCATTTGAGCTGTGTATACACGTTACAAGCATGACAATGTTTCATTCTTCTAACAAACAGAAAGCCCAAGTAAATGGTTGCCAAGGGAATGGAGGCCCCCAAGGCGGTTTCTAAGGAGAATGTGTGTGAGCTTGGCAGCGTGCATCATGAGCTCTGGCTTCCTGAAACTGCCCTTTGCTAAGGTCCTTCTGTGGGGCTATCCTAGGTCAAGGCCAGCTCATCTCTTTGTAGGTAGAGAGAGAGAGGGTGGATTCTGCTACATGTTCCTGAACCTGCCTGTGTCTCCTGCTTCTGCTTCTCTCCATAGTAAGGTACAGGAGAGCAGTGGCAAGGCCCACGAGCACTGCTCACCCATGTCCGTATCATCCTAGGATCGAAAGCTCACCAAGCTGGAGCGGCAGCGGTTCAAGGAGGAGGCAGAGATGCTGAAGGGCCTTCAGCACCCCAACATCGTGCGCTTCTATGACTTCTGGGAGTCCAGTGCCAAGGGCAAGCGATGCATCGTGCTAGTGACTGAGCTGATGACCTCAGGGACGCTGAAGACGTAAGTGTTGCTGCCTGTGGGCTGGGGAGTCTTGGTCATGAGTGCAGGGCTGTCGTGCTAGTATGTGTGGGGGCAGACCAAGGCTCCTGGACTTCGGGGAAGTCCTGGTTGGTGTCCAGAAGCCATCATCCTGCCTCTTGGAGTGTCCCCTTGGTGATAGCCTTCATTCTCTAGGCAGTGGGAAGCCCCTGCCCCGAATGAGAAGAAACAAAGAAACTGATCAGTTCCTCCTGACCTTTGACTCCTTCTGGTTTCCTGTGACAAATGGGACCATCCCCAGGACATGACTGGGAGAGTATCCCCACCATCTCCTCCAGGGTTTTCTTGTCTGCCCTGACTGGAATCTTATTTCTGGCCAAGGTGCTGTTTCTGCCTGGGAGCCAGCCTGGCACATTTTAGTGCTCAGAAGCAGGCTGGGACAGGAACTTGGTGAGAGGTCAGAGCTAGGTGGCAGCTTGCTGCTTCTCCTTGAGGGCCTTGTCCACACCATGCAGATGGGAGGCCTTCCTTTCAGGTGGCCACAGTCTGGGTTCATCTGAATTATTTTGCCCCCTGGGCCTTGGGCAGGATGTTGCTGTCCCCCTGCCACCAGGTGATTTCACTCACAGGTAAAGACACAGCAAGGAAAGAGTCCTGTTTCCAGGTCCTGCTGCCTCCTGTCCAGGGACACCTCAGAGCAGGTCACACAGGTGGCCAGTTGCAGGGAGGACCTCACCTTCTTGACCGCTGACTCTGGGTATTCCCACAAGTCCTGAGCTCCTGTAACACTAATCTTTCCCTGAATACCCACTGGCTGGGATGCTGTCCTGCTGGGGCTGCCTTTCAGTAGATTTTGGTGTCTCGTCAGGGTGAGATTGGTACTGTGTTTGGCATGAAATTTAGTGTCAAGGTTCCCAGAGCAAGAAGCAAGCAGAAGGCCATGGTTTTGTCCTGGCTGCCTGTTTTAGGGCTTGATTCCAGCTGTGTGAGCTGGCCTGGGGCAGAACTGCCCTGCCCTCCTCTCTCATCCTTGCTGCCTTTCGTAGGTAGGTGCTGTATGTGCGTGCACAGCTTTGAAACAGGCTGGCTGGTGCTAGACAGGGCCTTTGCATGGGCCTGTGGCTCCTGAGCTACGTGCTGAGCTATGCTCCCTCCCAGGTACCTGAAACGGTTTAAGGTGATGAAGCCTAAGGTGCTGCGCAGCTGGTGCCGGCAGATCCTGAAGGGCCTGATGTTCCTGCACACGAGGACACCACCCATCATCCACCGAGACCTAAAATGTGACAACATCTTTATCACTGGGCCCACTGGGTCTGTGAAGATTGGTGACTTGGGTCTGGCCACCCTCAAAAGAGCGTCATTCGCCAAAAGTGTGATAGGTAAGCACATGTCTAACCCCAGGATAGGAAGCCTTGGGGGACTAGATGACGGCCTGACAGTGTCGATGTCTGGCTCTGATCCTGTGTGGGAAGCCCAGCAGGAGGCGCATCTGGGCATAGTGGCCTCAGAAGAGTCCTTCCCAGACTCTGCTGGCTCAGCCAGGGGACCAGCCCTGCGGGGGACGTGCTGCACCCACCCTGCCCAGACTCGGGGCCTGGATAGGCTCTACATTAATTCCCTGGTTCTCTTTGGTGCCAGCTCTGAGTGTTCAGAAGGGGTGGTGGTGGGTGGGTGCCAACTTTCCGTGGTGTCCGTGGGTGTTGTGGTCACTTGGGAAGGGGAAGGAGGCCCTGGCCACAGAGGAACTGGGGAGCTTGTGGTAAGTGGTGCTGGAGCCAGTCTCAGTAGGTGGAAGTGGCGGTGCCCCATGATGTGGGCCCCAAGGAAATGACAGCGTGGGATGTTTGGGGACAGACAGAGCTGCAGATGGGTCCAGAGTGGTGTCCGTGTACTGTGGGAGGAGGTACTGAGCGCCTCTACTGGTCATTGTGGCCTCTTTCTTGCTCTCAGTCTGGCTCCTATGTCCTCCTCTTGAGAAGACCTCTGGTGCCTTTCAGGGGAGGCTCCCTGGGCCCGGGGGGCAGCTGGCTCACAGGTGTTGTGGCGACACAGCAGATCCCCACTGTGCTGTGTGCCCAGCTTCAGTGGTCCTGACATTAGTGGCACTAATGGTCCACCAGGTCCCAGGTAGGTTCATGAGTTGTTGGGTTTGCTGCTGTGTAAATTCAGTTTTACTATCTATTTGGGAACAAAACTTAGCCTCTTTAGGAAAAATAAACCGTTGCTAATGTCTGGAAACTGCTGGTTGCAGTAGTGTGTTTGAAATGTGAGTGACATCGGAGCAGGGCAGCCAATGGCTTGGGGGAGGGGTGGCCTTTGGACATAAGGTCTCTGGCAACCCTCAGGCAGCTGGGTGGTGTGGAGCAGGGACTGACCCAGGCCTCAGTTTTCCTGTCTGTGCAATGGGTGAGACAGACAGGCAAGGTTCTGTGCTCCATCTTGGAAGGGTAATAGTGGGGCTCCAGGGCTTGGGAGACCCACGTCCCAGCTCTTGAGCTCTAGGCAGTAGGTTTTGAAAATTTGATCTTGCAAGTGAGTCCTGGTCTCAGTCCCTGAGCTGAGACAGGTGGCAGGAGGGCTGCTAAGGTGACTCACCTGAGAAGTAAACATTTGGAACAAAGTGCATCCCCCCC